GCCCGCGGAGCCCCGAGGGCCTCTCCGAGGCCGCCGCCCGCCGCCTCGAACCCTGCGGCCCGCCACCCGCGCCGGGGCAGAGCCGCGTCTCACCCGCAGTCGTCGGCCGCGCGCTCGCCCGAGCCGGAAACCAGCGCGCGTGCGCCCCACCGCCTGCGCGCCCCGCGCCCTGGGCTCCGACGGAAACGCGGAAGTGGATCGCTTCCGGAACCGCGGGGCGGAGAGCCGCAAAGCCCGGAGCGGACGCGCTCTCGCGGCGTCGCCGGCCCGTGGGTAGCGCCGAAAGCGACGCCACACTCCCAGGCGGAGAAGTCCTCCCTCTGCGTTTTCTGTAGGAAAAGTGAAGGCGAAGGTCAAGACAGTTCAGACAACCCCAGTGCGCGGTGCCCCCACCGCAGTCAGTTCTTTGGCCATTACTGAGCTAGTAGGAGGGTGGGGGGTTACCTTCAACCCAGCGAGGTGACGTGTGCTCATAATCCCAGCACGCAGGAGGATCGCGGTGAATTCCGGGACAACCTGAGCTACATAGTGACAGTCTGTCTCAAAACTTCAAACCAGAGTGGGTGGAGAGAGGGAAAACTTTGCAGAGTGTTGGGAATCAATACTAGGAGGGCTCTGCGGAGTTTAAGGGATGACGAGAAGTTGGTGGCCTTCAGACTGGGATGAGGTAGAGGTGGGAGGCTAGGTACAACATTAACTGCCAGGCTCAAGACGTCAGCAAGCAAGGCCTTTTCGTCATCTCCAGATGTGCAGATACCTAAGACCTGCCTCACCAGGTTGCCAGGGGAATGCAGTGGGTTCTTTCAGCCACCTGTCAAGAGCTGGAATTGCTTTCTTGATGGCAATTACCATGAGCTACCCAACCTCCATGCTTTAGAACTCAGTGTCTTTGGCTGGTTTTTATTTATTCATTTATGGAGGAGATAGTGAGACAGGGTCCCATGGATCTCAGGCCGAGCTATGGAGACAAAGGTAGACCTTGAATTTTCTTTGTTGTTATTGTTGTTAGATTGGTTTGGTTTTCTCTCCCCACCACCCCCAGACAGGCTTCCTTTGTGTAGCCCTGACATCCTGTGGCCTCAAACTCAGATCCACCTGCCTCTGCCTCCTGAGTGCTGGGAGTACAGGCCTGCATCACCACTGCTACATAGAACAGTGTTTTAAACTCTAGGCTGCAAGCCCACTTAAGCATGAATAACTGAAGGTCAGGAAAATTAAGCAACTGCAACTGGTTTCTAAATGTGCAACGACAGAAAATCAATTCAGTGGGTGTTTCTGGCAGTTCATGAGTGTGCTATATCCAGTGTTACTGTAGCCTTGCTTCTGAACACACACCATGCACACTTTTGCACAACTCATGGCATATAGTATTGCAGAATATTGGATCCCACTCAGATCCCCAAAACTGTGAACTGTAAACTCTGTTTCTTTGGTGTGGTTGAGCCCTAGCACACACCTTTAATCCAAGAGCTCTCTGTTTATTGAAAACTGGTGATTATGGTGTGGTTGAGCCCTTTCACATGCCTTTAGTCCTCTTATACCAGATCTCATAAAGTTAACCCTAGGTCAGGAGACAGAACTAGAAACCAGCTGAGAGGGATTAAAGAGTGGGAGGGACTTTGAGGTGAGGGTTATTTAAGACAGTGGGAAGAAAGGGAGATTAGTTCAAGCTCTGGCTTTAGTTTAAGCTTCAGCTCCTTAGCTCCCTGGCTTTTTGGGCTTTGAACTTGTACACTTTCAGCCTTGGTTGTTTTTGTTTGTTTGTTTTTATTTTTTTGCCTTTTCCTCCTGGGCTGTTAGCTGAAATAGCAAGCCTTTTGGGTGTTTTTCTGTCTAGACCTGAGTTGAGAAGGAAAGTCAGCTGGGTGCTTTCTCTGCTTCTCTGAGCTAGCAAGTTTTCACCCCAGCATCTGGCTCCTGAGTCTTTATTGGTAAATTAGAAAGGTTAGGATTTTCCTTCATTTAAACAATATAGTTACAGCACCAACAAATGCAATCAAAACTCCTCAGCTCAGACTGTAGACTATTGTACAGTATGAATTGCAGTGTTTTTACAGTAGATACAAAGTTTTTTGCTCTTACAGAAGCCTGATAGTTTCATTAGGAAGAACAAAGGCTCTTGATGTTTTCCTCTCTTTCCTCAGCATGTATCAAAGTGCTATATCTTTGGATTGTGATTAAATGCTTGGCTTTAGGAATTGTTGTTTGAATGGCTAACTTGGCTTCATAAAACAATCATTAATGAAGTGTTTAGCTTAGGATTAGAACAGAATGTCCATTCATTTCTGGAAATGCTTCTGCCTTTCTGTAGTATGTCTTTATAGGAAGTAGCTTTCTTAGCATTAATTATTATAAAATCAAAATAGCCATCACCTCAGAGACTAGAGGATCAGGGTTCGGAGAATAGCTTCAGCTATGTAGGAAGTTCAGGGCCAGCCTGTGCTACATGAGAACCTGTCCCCCAAATAAGAAGTCAAACAGAAAAAATAGGCCGAATGTTTTGCTTCCCTGTTAGAAAGCACTCCCCTGAGGCCTCCCTGACTTCCCTGCACATATATTTTGATGGCCTCACTTCTTTTTTATTTTCTCATCTAAATTGCATACTTGGCCAATAATTCATCTCCAGACAGAAGAGAACTGTCTGGCATTGAAAAGGAAATCAGTAAAAGAAAAGAAAGGAGTCATCAAAACTGCTGGGTCATTTGTCTGTGTAGGTCTCATCACTTCAAGCCACTTTTTATATACACTCTGTCCTATGCCCGCCCCTCATCTCTTCTGGAGATTCTCTCCGGAACCGAGAACTACTTGTCTCTGTGATGTCTCTCTGTTGCTAAGCTCCACTCACCCTGGGAACCCGAGACAGAGGAGTTCCAAGGAGCAAGCTGTGGCCCTGAGGAGGGGATTAAGTAGGCGTCTACGATGCTGAGGGTTATTGTGGAGTCCGCCATAATTAACCCACCTCTCAGCCCCCCACCCAAACCCTGCATAAGCATCTACTTCAGAGGTGAGAACTGGGGTCTAAAAGGCAACCAGGAGCCCCGCTAGTATTCACACAGCCAGAGAGAACTGAGTTGTTCACATCCTACTTCATGAAAGGTGTTCTGTGTGACACAATGAGGAGGTAGACGCTGGCTGTTTCAAAACCTGTTATCAAATGCCTAGCATCTTGGGTCCTGGTTTTGATCCCTGTTACAGGATATATTATCCAACTGTGAACCCCAAAACTGTGAACTGTAAATCCCTGTTTACTGTTTGGTTTGGTTGAGCCATAACACACAGCTAAAATCCAAGAACTTTCTGTTTATTGTAAACAGGTGATTATGGTGTGATTCAACCAGCCCTAGCACACAGCTTTAATCCAAGAGCTTTCTGTAAAATTAACCCTAGGTCATCTGAGCACATTGGCACATGCCTATAATCCCAGCGTTCAGGAAGGCAGAGGCAGGCGAATCTCTGTGAATTCGAGGCCAGCCTAGTCTACAAAATCAGTTCAAGACAGCCAAGCTTCACAGGGAAACCCTGTCTCAAAAAAACAAAACAAGGTTAACCCTAGGTCAAGAGGAAGAGCAAGAATCCAGCTGACAGGGATTAAAGAGTAGGAGGGGCTTTGAGTTGAGGGGCATTTAAAACAGTGTGGAGAAGAAAGGGCTTTTTAGCTCAAGCTCTGGCTTCAGTGCCTCAGCTCTGGCTTTTTGGGCTTTGAACTTGTGCACCTTCAGCCTTGGGTTTTTTTGGCCTTTTCCTTCTGGGCTGTCAGTTGTACTAGTGAGCCTTTTGGGTCTTTTCCATCTGGACCTGTACTGAGAAGGTCAGCTGGGTGCTTTCTCTGCCTCTCTGAGCTAGCAGGTTTTCACCCCAGCATCTGGCTCCTTAGTCCTTATTGGTAAAATAGAACGGCTCAGATTTTCTTCTCTGCAAGAGCAATAAATCCGATTAACTTGTGAGCCATCTCTCCAGTCTCAAAGCCTATTGTCTTTGTTGTTGTTGTTTCTTTTATTTTGATTCTCTGTCTCACTCCTTCCCAGACAGGGATGGGGCCGGGCAAAGCAGACTTGCTCACCTTCAGTGAACTAAGGCTGTGCTATAAAGTACTGGGCAAAGAAAGAAGTCCAACATAATCCCAGGACTTGGGAGGCTGTAGCAGAAGGATCTTGACTCTAGGCTAGCCTGGTCTACACACTGAGATCCTATCTAAAAACAGAAAAAAAAAAAAATCAACGAGACAGACAGATACAGAGAGAGAGAACCCTGCTTTATAGGATTACAATGAGATTTTTTTTAAAGATACAAAGATAACCTTCAAGTCTGAGTTTTGATAATAGCTGCTTGATATTATCAATTACATTTGAATGAGCTTTACAGTTGGCAATGCCTTCTAAAAAATATAATGATGACTGTTCCTCACAGCAGTTCAGTGAGCCTAAAGAGACAAGATTTACTATTTCTGCTTTAAAATAACTAAAGAAGCCTGTATCTAAGAAGAAAGAGGAAAAGGGTGAAAGAGTTTGTAAGACAGATTAAGTATGTTTAGGGGTCAAAGAGCTGGGAGCCAAAAGGGAGAAGGGGAGAAGTGTTGCTCAGCTGTACAGTCCTTGCCTTGCCTGGGTTTGATCCCACCACCACCGAAAGAGGGAAAGAAATAAAAGAAAACGTGATGATGGTCTTTTGGCTGAGCATGTGGAAGCTGGTAGAGGACAACAAGGTTTCAGAAACTTGTAGGGAGTGAGATTATCAGGTCCCAAAGGAAAACAATAAAAAACAAAAACAAAAAAACAGTGAGGTTGACCCTCCATATCTATGGACCATTGTCTGGGAATTTAGAATCAAATATCTTTAAGGGCAGGCAAGATGGGCCAGCAGGGAAAGCAATTATCATTCCTCCACTCCACGGGCCAGAAAGAGTCACAGCCCACATGGCTCAGCGAACGGTGACTTAGGGAAGAGAGTGAAACGAAGAGAGGGCTGATCAGTTTGATCAGGGTGATCGGTTTGAAACCCCTGAAAAAGAAACTACGGGTGCCACGCTACAGCTGCCAGGGCTGCCTTGACTCCTGCAGCACCCCACCTCTCTTGACCCCCTCAAACCCAGACACTGAAATACTTCCCCAGACTCAGACCAGACCCTTGGCATCTTTGCAGATTTAAAGAAAAGGACTCGTCGGGAGGAAGGAAATGACCCTGTATGGAATGAGGTAAACACACCGGGGCCATCCTGGGAGAGGAAGGAACAAAGGGGCAGGGCTGGCCACTAGACATGTGCCAGAGGTCTAGGGAGCTGACAGCGAGTCTCACTGGGTCTCTCTTTTTTTATATAGTTTATCTATGTTTATTTTATGTGCATTGGTGGTTTTGTCTGAATGTATGTCTGTGTAAGGGTGTTAGATCCTGGAGTTACAGACAGTTGTGAGCTACCGTGTGAGTGCTGGGTGCTGGGAATTGAACTCTGGTCCTCTGGAAGACCAGAGTGCTCTTAACCACTAAGCCATCTCTCCAGCCCCTCACCCAGGTTTCTTAAGACTGGGGCAGCCTGGCCTAGGTTAGCCTCTGATCAGATAGGGCTGCAAAAGTCACATCTGTCCACGCTGTTTTTGATCTCTCTCTTCTGCCTTTGGGGATGAACCACAGCACGGTCCAAGCACTAATCCATCCACACCACTCTTGTGGACCTAGAAGCCTGAAGCAGAGACAAGGCTCCTTGTGCAGAAGCCACTCCTTTTTATGCACTCATACTGTCCCACCCCACAGTCACCCAACTCCTGACATGCCCAGGATATCCCACATGGGGGACAAGGTAGCAAACACATTCTTCTTAGGAAGGTAGACATGACAGAAACTCCTGAGGTCCAGCCCATTCCCCTAGACTTCCCGTCACTCCCTAGAAGAGTGGAGAGTGGGAAGGAGGAGGTAAGAAGTGGCCCGGCACCATGCCCCACAGTAGGAATCCCAGCACTCCTGAAGCTGAGGCAGGAACATCACCGTACCTAGTGAGTTCCAGGCCAGCCCGGACTTCATAATAAGGCCCTGTCTCAAAACAACCACTTTCAAAATAAAAGAAAATTAAACAATGAAAAATGTTGATTTCTCCCTGCTCGCCACAGACCCTAATCTGGCACCTCTTGAATCGACCACTGGAAAATGACTCCTTCCTTCAAGTCATCCTTCAAGATGAGGACTCTAAAAAGAAAGACAGGTGAGGCAGAAAGAGAGGAGGAGGAGCCTGGCTCCCTGACCAAACAGCAGCAGACCAGCTGCTAACCCATTTCCAAGCCATACCTAACTCAGATGAAGGACCAGCGCCCATGCCACACAGTGAAGGAAAGGGGGGAGGTATTAAAGGAGCACCAAGACTCGGAGATGAAGTCGGCTAGGATACAAACCAGGATACCAGCAGCAGCTCTGTCTTGAAGCCACAAAGATCTTGAGTGTCTGCCTAATCCCAGCCTCTGGTCAAAGCCCAATTCTAGTACTGAACCTAGACTAACATCCCTCTAGAAGTGAAGCCATGGCACACCATGGGCCTTTTCCAGGACGGAGGATCTGATTGGTCCATCTTGGCCAGGTGCCCATCAAGCAACTTCCCACAGAGTGGAGAGACCCCACCCGACCGCCCTCTGGTAGAAAACCAGGCCCTGGGAAAAAACTGTCCATAGGGCACAGCTGGGAATCTTACATCTACTCCTTGCCTCCCCCAGGTTCATTGGCCTGGCCACTGTCCTGCTCAAGCAGCTGGTGCAAAGACCGAATGAAGTCTTTTTCGTGAAGAACCTGATCCTGCTCAACCATTCCATGAAGCCCACTGATGTGAGTTAGGCACCAGACAGCCCAGGCAGGGCAACTGGAGGAATATGGGCAGCTGGTGTAGCTCCCTCCAGGAGCAAGCAGGAGTCCTTTGTGCCCTGGGAGGGCCCCATCGCACGGTTGTCACCTTCCGGTCCCCCATCTGGCCATCCATCTCCCATCCACTCTTCCATCTCCCCTGGAGTCAGTCACTGTGCTAGACGGTGGGCTTCAAGGCTGCATGCTGACAGGCAGGGGAACGGGAAAGCTTTGCAGTAGCGGACAGGGAAGGCTTCAGTGTGCCCTGATTGAAGGCTGCTGTTTTAGGAAAACCAAAGACAGGCTCACCCAAGCGATTGGTTTGAAACTCGTATTTGGCTTCTCCTAGTTGGTCCTATGAGACGGAAGCCCGACAACCCGAGGTCCCATTTGGTGGCAGGATACTGACTCCCCCAACTCGTCGGGCTGACATCCACGCTTGCAGCTTAGCCACAAACATGCCCCACCTCCCTCACCTTACACGAAATAAACAAGGAAAATTTAGGTCATCTGTCAAATTTGCCAATGATCAAATCCTGGCCATTTGGGGCTGACGGTTATTGCTGTCTTGGCTTGTAATTCGAAAGAACGGGCTGACTCCCCACAGAGGGCAGGCCGGCCTCCTGGCTGCTCTCTGTAGATAATAGATTGGTTTTCTGGACTGATGCCCCCAGTGAGGATCCTGTTATATGTGGTGTGGTCACCATCAACGCACATATCCAGACTCTCAGGAGGACGTGAGTTTGCCCACTGGTCAGGAGAGGCAGTCGCCAATGCAGAAGGGACATGGGGAGAAGGCAGGTTCAGGGAGGGCAGGCTGCCTGCACTACTGGTACAAGATGGGGCTGGAGACAAAGCAGGAGGCAGGGAGGAAGGGGCTTGTGGTGTGTGCTGCTAAGACTTGAGCAGATAGTGGGTGTCAAGTGGACAAGCCTGGGGGTGGTCTGCAGGTGGCTGGGTAGGTGAGGAGTGTTCGGAAGAAGGATGTCCGTGAGGAGGCACGGACAGGAGTTTTCCCACTTCAGGAGACACTGAAATTGCGGTGGGCACTCTAGTTAGCATGATGGCTCAGGACAGGTCCTAACTCACCCTTTCCTCGTCTCAGCAACCTCCTGGGTCTTTGTGTCACTGGCATCAGTATAATTCCGTTATCGTTCGAGTCCCCTCCATTGTAACCCGTGGCTATCTCTTCACACACACACACACACACACACACACACACACACACACACACACGCCCACAGTATAGAGAGCCCTGCCCATGGAGGAGGGGAGTGAACCCAGCCAGCCCAGGAAGGCTGGTGCTAGAACTTAAGATCTAGCTTCCAACTCCCTGCCTTTGCCTTGCAGTGCACTGTCACCCTACAGGTGGCCCAAATATCTGAGCAAGACCCTGACATGACAGGTAGGTCTTTCTAGGGCTCTTTGGGACCTTTGAGACCCAATTCTTAAGGTGCACCAAAACACTGTGGCCAGATAAGGGTCCCTGGAATTTTCACAGACCTAGCGGCCATCACTCGCCTGGCTGATGCCACAGTTCTAGTTTGCTTTCTATTTCTGCAGTGAACACCATGACCAAAAGCACCTTGGGGAAGAAAAGGATTATTTCATCTTACGGCCTAAGGTCCACCAGGAAGGGAAGTCAGGGCAGGAGCTCAGGATGGGACCCTGAGGCAGAGACTAAAGCAGAGACCATGGAGGACCATAGCTTACTGGCTTTCTCTCTCTCCATGGTTTTGCTCAGCTCGCCCTCTTATGCAACCTAGGACCGGCCATAGTGGGCTGGGCCCTCCCACAGGAATTTCAGGGAAATTCCTCTATGGACTTACTTACAGGCAACCTGATGGGGGCAATCTCTCAATTAAGGTTCTCTCTTCCTAGAGACCTCTAGGTTTGTGGTAATTTGACAAATACCAGCCAGCACAGCTGCCATTTTCCATTTCCATTTCTCATCTCCAGATATAAGGCTTTTCTTAATGGGGACAGAGGACATAGGATGACCATTTCCAAGAGCCTCCATGTATGAAGAGTGGGGTCCAGGTAGCCATTAAGAGCATGTTCAGGGCAAGATATGTGCCCCATCAAGGTAGTGGGGCCAGAATGACTAAAAGGGGGAAAGGCTCAAAGGTCCCTAACCTGCCCACTCTGGACTTTTCCATAGGCAATGAAGAACCCCTGAGCTCAAGTGTGAATAAGGTGACCCAGCAGAAACTAATGGCCCCTGGCTTCACTGCACACAGGGCTCTGGCTTCCAAGCCTCAACACTTCCAGGTGAGAAACTAGAAAGTCTGCATAGACACAGCTGATGCCATTGTCTTTTCCCACCCCATCCCCTCCCTTCTTCAAGGTCCTGGTAGATATCAGATCTTCAGATTCAGCATCGGGTCCTCAGCTCCTCACTGCCCCTGTTCCTTCAGGGACCATTCTGGAGAAATTCCACCTGTGACTGGAGCTAGACTGTCCTGGTGAGGCTGGGAGGGGTGTGCAGAGCCCTGAAGGCTGACAGACAGGTTCTGGGGAGGCAGAGCGGAAGGCACAGGCCCCGCCTTCCCAGAGCCCTTGGGCTGTTGGCAAAGCAAGGCAAGGCACACACAAGATCAAAGAAACTGCAGGAGAGAGGCCAAGGCTGTGTGAAAGGAGCAGTGGGGTGATCCACGGCTTCTGGAAGATTCTGGAAGCCCATCCCATGCCCTGCCAACTTCCCTCTGACCCCTAGCATTTTTTTCCTTTTTTTTTAAAGATATATTTATTATGTATACATTGTTCTGTCTGCATGTACAGCTGCACACCAGAAGAGGGCACCAGATCTCATTAAAAGATGGTTGTGAGCCACCATGTGGTTGCTAGGAATTGAACTTACAACCTCTGGAAAAACAATCAATGCTCTTAACCTCTGAGCCGTCTCTCTAGCCATCTCTCAACCATTCCCTGACCCAGCACATCCCAGCCTTGAGTGACCCTTTTCCTGCATTCAATCAGTGGCCAAGTCCTGTCTCTTGCCTTTCCTCACTTCTCCATCACTTATTCCATTCCCTGCCCTGAGCTTCACCTGTCCTTTCCTTGAACCACATGGAGAGACGGAGTTCTCCAGAACCCTTGGTCAGCATATCTATTCATTCTTTAATCCAAAGTATTTTCAAAAATACACGCATCTTGCCCTATATCTGTCTAAAAAGCTCTGGGGTCAGCACACATCTGGAATCCCAGCCACTTAATGGGGGTGGGGGTGAAGGCTGTAGGATCAGGAGTTTGAGGCCAGTCTGGGCTACACAAGGAGATGCTGTTTTAAAAAATTAGCCACAGTGAGGGGCTGGGGATTTAGCTCAGTTTGCTCTTGCTTGCCTAGAAGAGCAAGGCCCTGAGTTTGGTCCTCAGCTCCAATTAGCCACAGTGTTGTGGATCCTCAAGGTGGCTGACCAGGCCCTTGACAAACCAAGCCTGCTTCTTAACATTCAGCCCCTTCCAGCCTTCTTCCCGGAGGTTCTCTCTGTCTGTAGTACCTAGAATGTTCCTTCTCAAAAAGTTTTGCTCTTGAGAGAAGAGTCCCTGTTGGAGAAGGGAAGTCCATGCCTCCATCGTCAGGTCTTGTGTGTGTCCCCTGTAGGTTCGGCTGAAGGTGTTTGAAGCCCGACAGCTCCTGGGCAACAACATCAAGCCGGTAGTGAAGATAAACATTGCAGGCCAGCAGCATGTCACTCGGATCAAGACGGGAAACAATCCTTTCTTCAATGAGGTAGGCTGATCAAGCCACCTCGGGCAGGTGAGGCAGCGGGAGCAGGCGGACCTTCCCTGGAAGCACCTGGCAACCTTGCTTCCTAAGGGGGATGGCTGTAAGCGGGAGGCATTCACTGAACACCTCCGAATAAGCACAAAGTTTTCTGCAAATAGGATGGGTTAGTCCAGAGAATTCTGCATTTGAGGAGCTAGTGATCTGATGGAGACAAACCATTGCAGTGGGGGAGACAGAAGTCTGGGGAGCACTGTTAGGGGGGCTGTGAAAAGCAGCCCCAGTTCATGCACGTTTCATCACTGCACACCCAAGCATTCTGTGGGGAACATGGAAGGTGCTGGGCAAATGCTTGTTAAATTAGCTGGTGACTACATGAGGGAAAATGGAAGCTGCAATGACCAGGTGCTGGGACCGTGGGGAGGACTCAGGGAAGGCTACAAAACCTCTAAAGAAAAAATCCGCTAGAAGAAGACAGAACAAAGGAAGATACTTCAAGAACTTGAAAGCAAGAAGCAGTTTTGATTGACTGATTGATTTTGGCCAAACTGTAGGGGAAAGGTGTGGCTGGGAGTGTGCACTGTAGATTAGGGTGCCACCACAGATGGCACTTTAGAGCCATGGAGGACTTAAGCAGCAGAGTGACGAGGGAAAGGAGGTTCTGGATAACCCAGAGAGAAGGGGTGGGGTGGCCAGGCAGGACAATCTAGAAGGAGCTCAAGGTTCGAATAGCCACCCTGGAGCAGCTAGCTTTTTGAACTGCTGGGTTCTCTAGGGAACCCCTTTACTTGGGCAGGACACCCCTGGCAGCTGAGGAATCCTCTGTGTCTGGAGGAGTGTGAGGCCGTCATAAGCAGGGAGTCGCCGAAGTGGGCACATAGCTAGGGAGAGGGGAGAGGCTAGCAGTGGAAGAGGCACATTATTCCAAAGCTTCAAGTTTGCAATGTCCTCAGATAAAGGAGAAGAAACTGTTTGACCTACCCCCAATTCTTTCTGCTCCAGCTGTTCTTCCAGAATTTCCGTGAGGTTCCTGCAAAGTTCTTCGAGGAGAACATCTTAATCCAGGTAAGGAGACAAACTGGTCTCCAGCTAAATGGGACCATTTTCCTGTCCTATCCCAGGGCAAGAAAACACTGTCTGTCTCCAAGGCAGCAGCCTCTATACATCTGTTCCCCTTGGTGGCCCAAAGACCTCATTCTCTCCTTCACTCATTCAACCAGTATTAGAGATTGCCTGCCCTAATGTGGCTAAAGCAGCCAGATTCTCCTGTCACCAGAGTGACATGCCCCCAGCCTCCAAAAGAAGCCAGTGACAACAGTGAATACATATTTATAAGTGCCTTCCAGGTGCCAGCACAGGGCTGAGGGGCACAAGGGAGCTTCTCCACTAGGGCATTTTGTGGTTTTGGGCACAGAAAGAACCAGAACAATATGTACTAAATAAAGGGAGTCCATTTCAAAACCGCTTGCCTTGTGTTGATTTGGAACAAGTAACTTGATCCCTCTGCTCAATCTCCTCATCAATGAGGTGAAACTAAAAATATGAACCTCACAAGGTTCCTCTGAGAACTACACACACACACACACACACACACACACACACACACACACATACACACACAAATGGCTTCCAAGTGCTGACCACTAGAAGTGCTCAGTGGGATGGGTGTGGCAGCCTACACCTGGAACCCTTGAGAGGTGGAGGCAGGAGAACCAGGGATCCAAGGTCATTCTTGGCTGTACAGTGAGTTTGAGGCTAGCCTGGGCTACATGAACGTGGGGGAAATTGGCCTTTTGATGATAAGCTCTCTCTCTCTCTGGAAACTCCTTGAAGGTAGTGGACTCCGAAGCATCAAGATCCAAAGCAGAGATCGGGAGATTCCAGGTGAGCCCTGAGGAAGAAGGAGGCTGGGAAGCTGTTATGGAAACCCAGGCTGAGCTCCAGGATCCTGTCTAGGGAAAAGGACCTGGTGTCTCGTGCAGATCCGCTCTTGGATCTCAGCTGTAGGATGATAAAACAGTCATAACAGCTGTCGTGATAATGCAGCCATGCTGCGGGAGCGCTGCCACGGCCACAGCCTGTAGGGTTAGAGGAGGACTGTGCGCCATACTGACTTACGCAGTTCAACAGTACTGTGGACGCGGGTCGCGTGGCGTCTCTGCTTCCATCTGTGGACCCAAAAAGGTCACCCCTAGTGAAGAGCTCTAGAAAGAGGCTACTGCCTTTGAGGAGCAGGGTCAGAGGGAAGATGTTCTTGTGACACAGCCCAAACTGGCCAAGAGTTCGCCATGTAACGTCATGCAGGCTGGCCTCAAACTCATGGCCAGCCTCCTGCCTCAGTTTCCCAGTTGTTACAGGCATGAGCCACCATGCCTGACTTAGTATTTTTATTTAATTTTAATGTTTTTATTTTTAAAGAGGGAAGGTTTATTTTTATTTTGTGTGTACAGGTTTGTGCTCATTTGCATGTGCTTGCATATGTGTTTCGGGAGGCCAATTTCATGCCTAGCTTTTGTTTAAGTTTTAAGGACTGAACTGGGCCCTTGTGTTTTAGTACGTACTTACTAAGCCATCTCCCAGGGCCCTAGAATTTTTATTTTTACGTTATTATTTGTGTGTGCCTGTGTGCGTCTGTGCATGTATCTCTATGTCTGTGTGTCTGTGCATGTGTCTCTCTCTCTATGTGTGACTGTCTGTACATGTGTCTGTGTCTTTCTCTGTGTATCTGTATGTGTGTACTTGTGTGTGTGTATGTGTCTGTGTGTGACTGTGTCTATATGAGTGTGAGTATGACTGTGTCTGTGTGTGTCTGTATCTATGTGTATGTGTGTGTTTGTGTCTGTCTCTGTGTGTGTTTGTCTATGTCTGTGACTATGTGTGTGTGACTGTGTGTGTCTATCTATGTGTGTATCTGTGTGTGTTTGTGTCTGTCTCTGTGACTATGTGTGTGTGACTGTGTCTGTGTGTGTATCTGTGTGTTTGTGTCTGTCTCTGTGACTATGTGTGTGTGACTGTGTCTGTGTGTGTATCTGTGTTTGTGTCTGTCTCTGTGACTGTGTGTGTGACTGTGT